TACTGAGACCACATCTGAAAAGAAAATTTTAAAAGGGCTGGGGTTGTAGCTCAGAGGCAGTAGACCCTTGTGTCAATTAGCAATGCCACACACAAACACATACAAACACGCACATACAAGATTAAAAGGATCAAGTCTTTAAGCTAAGGAATGAAATTCTGTGGAGTAGATTTCCTCAGCCAGTTTACAGGAGATTGGGAAGGTGCTGAGATTCATAGCTGTACCAGCAGGCCTTCCCCAGAAGCCACACGAATCACTGCCTGCTTTTATCTTTGCTGGCTGGGCCGGCTGATTGTATGTCACATGTTCCTGATTCAGTCTGAGTCTCTTGGTCTGCTGAGGTTCCTCCATGGTGATGACATTCCAAAGGGCTGGAGAAAATCATAGGCTTCCCTTTTATAAATATCTATGGAGTAGTGCAGAGGTTGAGACTGCATTTCCTACCTCCATATTAGGAAATGAAATATATGAATGTATGAATGAACTAAAGCCCTGGCTTCAGGCAGCTCATGATCTCCTCAAAGAAGCAGGGAGGCATCATGCCTGGGGACACTCTGGGCTCAATCCTGTAACTACTGTGGGACAGGGTGTGTCAGTGCTTATGCTGCAAGGAGGCCCAGCACAATTTGGGACAGGGCCAGGTCTTCAAATAATAGATGCACTCTTATTTCCCCAGCGGGACAGGTTCACGGGAATCCATTCCAAACCTCAGTGCTCTGGAGTTTCTTCTCATGCCACCCCTCCACAGTGACCTTTCTCCTGCTGGTGTCTGAAAGGTGAATTTCTACTTATCTCAAATGCTATTATGGATCATTTTCTGAGGTAAAAGCAAATTATTTGGGGGCTGAGGTGTAGCTCAGTGGTAAAGTGCTTACCTAGCATGCACAAGGCTCTGGGTTTGATCCCTAGCAATGTAGCGGTGCTTGGAATTCAAAAGCTCTCACCAAGGTGACACTCCCCAAGATCAGGGGCTGGAATCACACACCTACTTAGGACACAACTCCACTTCTGTGTCATCCAGCTGGGAGTACACCCTCAGTCTGATCCCAGGGAGACATCAGACAAAGTCAACTGAAGGGCATTCTTCAACTGATGAGGCTGTACCCTTCAGAAGGTGCCAAGCTTGTGAAAGATGAAGGGCTTCCATGTCCTGCATTTCTGGACATGTGACAGCTGTATGCAAAGTGCAGTCCTTAATTAGATCCTGGAAAAGTAATCTCTGAGGACATTACTGCAACAATTATTGACACTTGAATGTGGAGCAAGGACTAGATAATAGTGATGTTTTATTTTATTTATTAATTTTTAAAATTTATATATGTATTTTTTGAGTTCTGGAATTGAACCAAGATTCTCATGCACGTTAGATAAACACTCTGTCACTGAGCTACATTCTCAGTCCTTTAATTTTTTTTTTTTTTTTTGAAACAGGGTGTCACTAAGTGGCCCAAGCTATCCTTGAACTTGTAATCCTTCTACCTCAGCCTCATGGGTAGATGGAATGACAGGGGTGTGCCACTATGCCTGGATATATAATAGATATAATATATTATATCTATTATATATTTCATATATTATATATGTGGGGGGGGGTCTTGCTAAATGGCCAAGGCTGGTTTCAAATTCTCAAATTCCTTGTCTCCAGAGATCAAGAAGTCCTCTACCTCAAGTAGCAGGAATTGCACATCATGTGCCTGGCTTACATTATAGTAAATTTTTTTGTTTGTTGGTCATGGGGATGAAACCCAGGTCCTCCAGGGTGCTAGGCAAGTGCTCTGACACTGAGCTACACCCTTAACCAGTAGTAATGTTTTGGTACTGAATTTCCTAACTTTGATAATCCGGCAGTGTTATGAAAAAGAATAGCCAATCTTAGGAAATTCACATCCACATGTCTAGAATGGAAGGCATACCATCCCCATGACTCTCCCAATGATTCAGAACAAAGCCAGCATACATTATGGACATAAACACAGTGAGAATAATGGGGCAAATGCAGAGAATATGGGAAAATATAACATATTGCGAGTTATTGAACTACTCCTCTCTCTCTCTCTCTCTCTCTCTCTCTCTCTCTCTCTCCATCCACCCCCTCCCTCTCACTCTCTCTTCTTCCTTCTTCTTCCTCCTCCTCTTCCTCCTTTCTCTTCTTCTATGGTTCTGGGCATGACACCCAGGGCCCTGTACATGGTAGGCAAACTGTAAATCTGAAATTATGTCAAAAGACCACTTTGAGGAGCTAGGATATAGTAAGAGGCAGAGCACTTGCCTAACATGCACCAGGCCTTGGATTCAACCTCCAGCACCACAAAACAAACAAGACAGAAAACAACAAAAACAAAAAGTTCCAGATGAACACACAAGGGATTCTAGGCACGTGATAATTTTTCAATTATTCTATTTTTTACATACCTTCCTTAATAAATGTCTATTTTTATAATGAAAAATTAATAATCATACACAGTTTTAAGAAAGAATATTTGTTAGTGATGTTGATTCTCTGAAGTATAACTAGGAAGATTTCAGGTTTTGTATCAATGATATCAAGATGTATGGATTAACTGGTGTAAAGATGTATGGATTGGCTGGCATAGTGGCACATGCCTACAATTGCAACATTCTGAGAGGTTGAGGCAAGAACATCAGAAGTTCAAACCCAGCCTGGGCAACTTGAGACCTTATCTCAATTTAAGAAAGAAAAAGAAAGAAAGAAAGAAAGAAAGAAAGAAAGAAAGAAAGAAAGAAAGAAAGAGGGAGGGAGGGAGGAAGGAAGGAAAGAAAGAAAGGGAGAAAAAGAGAGAGAGAGAAAGAAAGGAGGGAAGGAGGAAGGAAGGAAGGAAGGAGGGAAGGAAGGAAAGAAGGAAGGAAGGCAGGCAGGCAGGCAGGCAGGCAGGCAGGCTGGAAATGTAGCTGAATGCAAAATCCATAGGTTTAATCCCCAGTACCCAAAACAAAATTATGCCTTAAAATTTAACATAAAATTTAATTTAGGGCTGGGGATTTAGCTCAGTGGTTCTGCTGCCTGCCTCACAAGCACCAGGTCCTGAGTTCGATCCCCACTACCAAAAAAAAATTTAATGTAATTTTTTAATGGTCAGTTTTATCAAATCCATAGAGTTCAAAAAACTCAGGGTGCATCATGTCTGGCTTCCCCCACGGTGCAGAGTCCCCACTGGATGCTTCAGCTCAGCTCCTTCTCATTCCAGGTCCCCTTAGGTGATCCCTGCTCCCTGGAAACAGTGCACAGGCCTCCCCTACTAAATCCATATGCATAGCACCACATTGGCAGCAGGTTCAGTAGCCAAGACACATGGCTCTACCACTGATTTGCTGAATGACCTGACCAGTTCTCCTGGTGTCCTCTGAAGAGTGGTTCTCAAAATGGTGCCCCAACACCATCACTGTCTTCATTGTAGTCTTCTTCTTCGTCGTCATCATCATCATCATCATCGTCGTTGCCCCGGGAATGCAGATTCTCAGGCCCTATCCCAGATCTAATGAGAAATTTGGGGAATGAGGCAGAGCAGTCTGCCTGCACCAGCCCCCCAGGAGAGCCCTGAGTCAGCTGTATAACAGTCTCCTTGAGTATTATGTTCCAGGCCAAAGGTCAACTTGAGGATTAAGTAAGATAGGGCACGGTCCAGGAGCCAGACCAAGTCAACAAGCAGCTGTGGCAGACGTCATTCCATCTCTGCCTCATTATTCTTCAGTCACTGCACAGCTGTTTCTCAGGAATGGACAGAAATCTCCCAACATGCACCCTCCTTTTCTTCTCCCAATCCCCACCCCAGCCCACCTCAGGCTTTCAAATCTCCATGTCCCTTGTCACAACATTGGCCTGGCTGTCATTTCCTGTCCCTCCTGGACCCCTCTGTCCAGGGGCAGCAACTCTCTCCCACCTACTGTTCTCATATCCAGGAAGGGGACTCCTTCCCTCCGGTCTTCTGGTCTTCCTTGTGACAGAGGAAATTTGGAATCAAAGTCACAGATAAAGGTCCAGACTGGGCATTGGTGGCACACACCTGTGATCCTAGCACTCAGGAGGCTCAGCAGTAGGATCACCAAAAGATCAAGGCCAGCTGAGGCTACATATTGAGTTCAAGGCCAGCCTGAACTATGCAGGTAGACCTTCTCTCAGAAAAAAAATTTAAAAAGTACTGAAAGCCAGTGTGGCAATGGGGGCATCCATCTGCAGGTCCTTCTGTTGAGTGGAATTTGCGTCATCTGGGCATGGAGCAGAGACCACTTGTCAAACCCTGTTCTCTCTCACACACATACAGAACTGTTTTTTAATTCAAAAAACCCAGAAGGAAATAAAGTTTTTAAAAAAATTCTCGTTTTGCTGATCCTCAGGACTGAGATCAGGAAAGATTGCTTACACCAGTAAAGTGGGGATTATCGGGTCAAACTCCAGGATTAGAAGGGGTTGTGCAGCGCTGTTAGCAGGCACAAGTGAGTGACCAGATACAGGTGGGTGACCCTCTGTCCTGTCCATCCCTCTGCTCGCATAGGCCGTGGAGCAGTTCCCCAGCTTCATCCCCTGGTCAGGTGGGTCAGTTGTGAAGCTCAGCTTTTTCTCAGGACCGCCAAAGCCACCGAGTGAGCCTCCCTGCCTCCCCAATCTGGGGCTGCCCGGGTCCCAGGACAAGGGCTCCTAAATGACGGCCAGCCTTTTTTTTTTTTTTCTTAAGTCATCAAATTCAATATTTACAAAAGAACGATCCTACTAGTGACCACACAAGGAACAATTTACTTCTCACTTTTGCCCCAACAAGAAAAATGTAGGCGACCCTTTCCTCTTGAAAACAGAATAAGTGGAGTAAAAATATAGACAAACAAAAATGTAAAAGCAACACCGCTCGTCGCCCGTGGCCCTTTCTCTCTTGTTAAATAGAACACAAAGCCCATTTTTGCCAGGGCTGGGCCAAGCGTCTGTAGCCCTGTAACTTTAAACCTGGCCTGAGATCACCGTCTGGGCGCGGGCCAAACAGAGCCCGAGGGCGGTCCCAGAGGCCGGGCTGAGACCACCTCGAGCCCGCGCTCCCGCCCTGCTCATGTCGCGGGGATAAATGCGGGTCCGCTCCGGTGGCCTCGGCCAAGTCTGCTCTCCGGGCGCTTCGGGTAGTGGAGCTGGGCGCCTCCCCTGGGCGCTGCGTTCCAACAGGACTCGCTTCCCCCTCCCCGCCTCGCCAGGCCTGCGGCTGCGGAGCTTCTCGTCTGCGCCCACCCTGCCCCAAGAGCTAGCTGCTGAGCACCAGCCGTCTGGAAGGATGTGGACGGCTCCGGTGCTGCTCTGGATTGTGGGCAGCGCGTCACTCTGGGTCCCGGCACAGGCTGGTAAGTGCTTGCGCTCGCGAGCGGCGCCTGCGCTTGCTGGAGGGGACCCGCTAGCCAGCGAGCCAAGACTTACAGGACAGCCTGGCCGGGGTCTAGAGTTGCCCAGGAGAGCGCGCCGGACCGAGCAGGGAGCACACACCCGGAGGAGGGGCGAGTAGGCTGCGGCTTGGCCTGCGCGGGGTCTCAGAGTAACAGCAACGTGGGTGTGGCAGGAGGAGCCCCGGAGGACGCGATGCAGAGGGAGCCTCCCTGGGTCAGCTCATAGGAGATAACCCAGATCCGGAGGGACATCAGGTGGGCTGGGGCAGGGAGCAGTTTCCCTGGCCCGGTGGCCTCGATCTCCCTTTTGTGCCAACCTTGGACACTCGTAGGACCCCATCCCCGAGACAGGCTGGCCGGAGGGAGGGTAGAGTGTGGAAAGGCTTTGAGTTGGTCCTGTGCACGGAGAATTGTGTGCGTGTCTGCCTCTCTTGTCTTCCCTTGAGTTGTTCAGGTGCTTGGCATGGTACCCAGGGCCTCCAGCGAGGTGGGTGAGTGCCTACTGCTGAACCACACCCCCGGCCTCGACGCTTATTATGAACACTGAGGTTTACAAGGGTTTGGGGCCTATGTTGAATTTGGCCAACATCAATGACTGAATTCGACGTTCCGCGGACCCTATCCAGTGATGAGGCCATTATCCACAACTTCCTCTGCCCTGGGTCCTCTGCTTTCTCTCATCTCTTGCCTTTTTCTGCCCAGTCGTGGTGGGAGGTCTCCACGAATATTTATGAATATTTTATTTCTTTTCTTGCATTATTTGTATCAGTATCCAGTGGAATGTAACCGATAGAGGGTATATACACCTAGCCATCAGGGCTTAAACAATGCCCGACAATAGTAGTTGCTCAATAAATACTGGTTGAAGGAATTGTATGCAGTGGTTTTAGGGACTGGAGATTGCTGAACTGTACCCTGAAAGGCAAAACCTCTTGGGGGTCCACCAGAAGACTCCCGCTTGGTGTTTGCAGGAGGGGCAGACCTAACCTAGGCTTCTATAATTCATCACAGACAGGAACTCTTAGCCTTAGGGAAATTATACAGAGTGTTCTGGCCCACAGTCTGCTTCAAAGAGACAGACAGAGACTTTTAACAGGGGCCTTGAGCTATTCTCAGCAGGCAGTCCTAACTTTGGAACTTCTCTTTCCCCTGAAGTATATAAATTCTGTGTTTCAATTCCATTTCCGTTTTGGCGAGACACTGTGCAAAAGACACCGTTTCATGCTCACCACTTCAGGGTGGGGGAGGCCCCTACCTGAGCCACACCCCTGGAAGGAGAGCAGCTGGGCAAGGTCCCTGGTCTCCCCCAGGGCAGGGGTTAACTATAATTACTTTAACACTCTGTCCTGAAAGTCAAAGATACTCGGGAGATGACGAATCTAGACTAGGAACTCTGCTGCTAAAGACTCGCAGCCCGGGAAGCCAGCAAGTGGGGGCAGCAGGCTGGGAGGGGGGTGCTCCTGGCCTTGGGCTGAGACCCAGCAGGGTTTTTGTCTGAGAATAATGAATGAGGCATCTTGAACGTGGATGAATAACTTCATTGAGCTGAGCTTTTGTTGGCTCCTGCCAGGGAGCCAGGCAGGGGGGCAATTATGGTGATGAATTTTGGTATCTTTCTCTTAGGATCCAGCACCCTACTGGGTTTCCCTCTTCCAGTGCCATGATCTGGCTGGGTTTTATAATCTGGCCTGTTGTGTTGTGTCTTTGGGTGTCAGAGGATTTAAAGGAGGACTGTTGTCCACACATCTGGCATTTTCCTCAACTGTCAGGCCCCATCCTCACTCTGAACTTTCGTACTTTGGGCCTGCTGGTGAGGTTTTTTTGTGTGTGTGAAATTCTGCAAGCTGCTGCTTTCTGCAAACCATGTGTGCTTTTCCGGGACCAGTCCACCCAGGATTAATCATGCGGCAAACAAATTTCCCTGTGATTTCCCTGAAATTCTTGCCAGTTTTGGAGACCCTGTGATCTTCATGAGTTACTAAGAGCTTTTGTTACATTTAAAGCAGTTAATGGAGGTCAGGTCTACTAGAGGCCTCATGAGAGAATTGTATCCCTCACTCAGGTGTGTAAGATTCTAAACAGCATTCAATATAGAGGAGCACATTTTAAAAATGCAAATGGGAAGATCAAGAGATGGAGGAAAGGAGGAAGGAGAAAAGGGGAAAAGGAGATTAAAAAATGAAGATGTTATATACATGTACAACTAAGTCCCCATGATGAATGTAATCATTACATATTGCAAACTTACAGTAATAAAAATAATTTTATTAAAGTGACCACACAGGAGAAGACCAAGACCAGATGTGGCCAAATAGAACTAAACTGTTCCCTCTCTCTGTTTTTGTGAAATGAGCAACATGCAACTGACTCTGACTATAACAGGAAATTTTAAAGATCTCAAACCATGGCATGATCGCTGGTGGCCCTGCCAAGCAGGAAGGACACCACCTCCCTTGCATTCTCATCCCCCACCTTACATGAGGAATGTCACCAGCTATTTCATTTAATCCTCACAACGGCTGTAAATTATACACTATTATCTCAGAATATGCCAGGACTAGGATTCAAAAAGGGTCTGATTCCAAACCTCAGGCTCCTTGACTACACTATTCTGCCATGAAGAAAAAAGGTTGCACTTGAAACTAAAGGTTAGCCTGACTGTAAGCATCTTAAATATAGAAGCCGAAATTTCCTAAAGATATATGAACTAGTACTCACCATATGATTTCTCTAAGAATAAAATTGTCACAGCACATTAAAAGAGGATTCATTAATTCGTTTCACAAATAGGTGTTAAGCATCTCCCAGTGCCTGGTGTGTCCCTAGATCAGGACTAGGAACACTCACACTTTGAAGAGAGGCACACCTGGCTTTAAGTGTTCACTGCAGTCCTCAACAACATGGCAATGAACCAGTACTCTAAATTCCAGGGGCTTATCAGAATATTTGCCATATTTCTGGCTTCTGAGAACCAGCATGCCAGGTCATAACTTGTGGAGGTATTCCGGGGGAGGCCGGGGAGGCAGAAAACATGCAGATGCCAGTACCACCCTTGTGGAACTCGATGCCTTGGAATATGACCCTGTGGGGCTCTGCAGGGACACCTTACCCTCCCTCCACCCTGGAACCTCTCAAGGAAAATTCAGCATGAGCCTTGAGTTGGAAGAGAGTCAAATGATTGGGGTTACTGGGGTAATTTTTTTAATCAAGAGATCAAGCTCTCTGTGGGGTTTTCAATTCTTTTCCTACTGATTTCTTGACACCTTTTTGGGGAAAGGAAAGTGATTAAGCATATAATCCGAGGGATCCAAGAAAGGGCCAGTTTAGGGAACAACTGGGGTTTTCCCAGTGTACCCCAGGCAGGAACCCAAGCGGCTGTTCTCTCCCTACTGGTCTAACCCACATGCCCATTGCCCAGCCTGCCCTCAGTCCACCACATGATGACAGGCTCTCTGGAGCTTCCACAAAAAGAGGGAGCCACGTTTGCCCTTGTTTTGGTCTGGTCCAGGCAGAGGATGACAACCTCAGCTAACACATCCACTTAGTGTTAGAGAAGCAGAAAACTGAAACTGTTAGGGCAAAGTGAAATGGAGTGCAGTTTGAAACAAAACAACAACTTATTAAAAGAAGAATCACCTTTTCCAAAAGGAAGATGCGCTCTTGACCTCTGTCGAGAGCAGTAGAGCTACAAAATGCCCTGGGCAGAAGAGAGAGACTAGCCCCGAGCCACACTGGGGCACACAGCACCATTGTTACATTGGCAGTTTGCAGGGGTGTGTCAATTATGTGGAATGTCAGTGGCAAGCAGGGAAGGGGCATGCTAGATTTGTAAACATTACTGGTGAGAACAGGGCATTTCTCATAATTCATAAACAGTCTCCATCCAGGGGAACAAAATACAACAAACATAAGAAAGGCTGAGAACCAGTGAATAGCATCTTGCCTGGAATCTAGAAAGGGAGAGAAAAGGAACAATATCTGTTGATCTTAAACTTGGCTCTGCCCAAGAAATTCATTTATTTAATGAGCATTTATTGAGTAGCCGCTGGGCAGTCAGGCAACGGGGAGCCTGGTGGCTGCTATCCCTGCTTAGAGCTAATGTGGAAGATCTGGTGGCAGAGGGATTCTGATCCCAATCAAAGTGCTTCAGTGAGAATTAGTCTGGAAATGCAGTCCAACAGACCTGCCCTTTGCTTTTATTCTATGTACTTTGTCCAAACAGCATCTCAGAGTATTTTGTTTGCTTTGTTTTGTTTTTTTAATTTTGCTTCTGAAGAGGAGATGCCTTCTGTAGCAACTACATGTATAAGCACCAGAAAACTACTTTCTGTTCTTACTAACTTCTTTGATTTCTTGGCATCTTGTGAGTTTGGTTAAAGTGAAAGTTTCATCTAAGCCCAGTCACCCCATAATAAGATTAAATGGGAATCTGTAAAGTCAAGAAATCTGGGCTCTAAAGGGGAGGTGTTATTTACCTAGTGCTGAGAGTGTGTCAGCCCCTCACAAACCCTGTTCCATTCACCCCTTCTAACAAACCCAAAAGGCAGGAATGATTTGTTATTTTATAGAGGAGTTAAGAGGCTTCAGGAGATGTGGTAACTTACACCCGGACACAGAGCTGGTAAACGACAATGGTGGGGCTTGAACTCAGGCAGCTCAAACCTAGAGCCCACACCACTAACCGCTCAGCTAAATAGCCGCCTGTGCTTGGAGTTGGTGCTGCTAAAGACATCCAAAAAAGTCAGCCAGCTGAATGCTTCAAGTATTTCTTACACAGCAAAACCATGTGTTACTGTTCTGGGCATCATTTTTCTCATTCTGATTTTGTTACATATATAGTTCGATTGATTATATAGGTACCTGATGCTAGTGATATAGAGGGAATTGATGTAACTCCCAAACATGCTAGATATCCAAATCACGTGTTCATGTTCGCTGAAATCGAAGAATGAATTCTAGGA